TTTGCAGGTATCGGAGTGCTCGGTGTATTTGCAGGTATCGGAGTGCTCGGTGTGTTTGCAGGTATCGGAGTGCGTGGTTTTGGTGTTACAAGTCGTTTTTCTTCGGTGTTTACTTCAAGTTCATCTAATTTATAAAAAGCACAAATTAATTTTTAGAAACGAAGTAAACTAAATTGAGTTTTTGTGTTATCTATATATGTATATAAATACAGTGCTTTAATGTATTTAAATAAGAGTATTTAACTATTTTTTTCTAAAAACGATAATATTTTTAAATTTGTATGTTAAAAGTATAATTTTTGTATATAGTTATGTGATTAACATTTAAGATAGATTATCTAACCAAAATTTGCGCTAATTCAGGTTACCTGTATAAAAAATCTCATAACACCCGTGAAATCATAAGGTACCTATTATGCATGTTGCTTAAAATATTATTATTTTAATTTTTTTCTTTTTTATTAACTAATAAAATTACACCCATTGGTTATTCATGTACGTACCTGTATTCGGTATCTCGACTTCGACAATCTCGACAAAACATGGCTTGGCACGCATGCACGGCGTGGCAATCAAAACCAGCATTGTAATCGTAAGTAGTTGAATATTACGAGCATTCATGGTGAACGACAAGGATCTCAGGATAATAAAAATATTAAAAACGTAATAGTTGCGAATAAAAGTGACAAAACAACACTAAACGCCCGAACTGCTTCTTGGCCACTTTTATAGGCAAGTACGTACTCGTCAAAGTGGGCGTTACAGTAATAGTGAAACGTGTGCAATGCTCGATAGTACCGCCGCCGTCGTAAAAAGGCGTAACCACGCCCCCTACTGTGCTGTCTCGACAACCAGTTCGTGGGGTTTCGGTTTTGTGCGGTTGAGCGTGTTACCTATTGTTTTATGACTTGTGAGCGGTCGCGTTCATAGCAGATAACTGTTTAATAAAAATGTTAATGATAATAAAAAGGGGTGTAGCAATACTGGATACCCATAACATCCTAGAGATGTATTAAATTTGAAAATTGTCGAAGTTATTCTTCCCCCCCCTGATTTTTACTGATTGACTTGACTAACAAACAAATATCGTACCTATCGAATTCCTATCGAACTAATATTTTGTTATTTTTTTTAATTTATAAAGTGTTTTAAACGGGACAGGCCCAAATACATAATATGTTACAATTAAAATCGTTCATTATAATTAATAATATTATTATAATACTTAATACATTATTTATAATATTGTTACCGTAATTTCTATAATTGGAATATAAAATTATGAACATTATTCTTCTCTTTCCAAAACAGAAAACGAGTGTGTCAGTATTATCATGTAATATATTATGTGTGGGTATTTTATAAATTACGATTTAAGAAAAAGTGACAAAAACGGCCGAATCCCATACGTAATAATAATAAAAATAATATAATGTAAGAATTTTTTTATTTGTCACAGACGATTCGGTTTTATACAAATACTTACTGCCTATGACGTGCACGCAGTCGACGTGAATAGGGATTTATTTTTCGTTTTCGATTCCGTATAAGATACAATTAAATACTTTCATTGTATTCGTTAAAAGGTTTTTGTAATAAAAATATATCTAATCTTACTTACCTATACGTAGAATTTATACTTATAATATCACGGTTCATGAATACACATCCGAAGGTCATAGTCTCCCCTGTCGCCAATGGACTCGACCGAGACAATACGTGTATACTGTATAGTTACTTTCCGAATACAATAACAAGAATTTTAGACGAGGGACGAACCGTTTTCGATTCTCAGAAAGGAAGGTAAAAGAGTAATTTTTTTTTTTCGTAATCTTAAACCATCAGCGATTGTCCATTATTTATGGGTATTCGAAGATCTCTCGAAGAATAGGTAACCTACCTATATGTTTTTATTTCGGTTTCTTCCCCTCCTGCAGACGTTTTCAATGATATTGTAAACGATTATATATTATACATGTTATATAGAATTGTTTATCGTTATATTTTCAAATATGTTACCTGTCGTACGAGTAAATCATACACAAAAATAATATTAACAACTATCGATTTTTAAATAGCGACCTACGTTTTCGAAATAGATACAGCTGATAATACTTTAAAATAAAATACTAATTGCTATTGTTTGAAAATCAAAAAATTGTATTGCGTTTATCGCATCGATATTGTGTGGACCAAATTTGAAGTGAAATTTCAACATAATAATTGAAAATGACTATAAAAAAATAAGGACGAATATACTTCACACGTGACTGCAGCCACTCTTGTAGGTGGGAAATTCGGAAGTTAGCATACAGACAGGTACAGTATGTATATCTGTAAGCAACGATAAACCATTGCCGAGGAAAAAACAATTCCGAGTGGAGTTCGGTTGATAGTGTCACTTTGTCAACAACACAATGTATGGTATATGTCATAATATAGTAAAATGATTACGACAATGTACGTTTCCATAACATGAGTGATTTTTTAAATAAGATTAAATAATATAACCGTATATAACAAAAAAATAAATAAATACGGTTACCAATGACAACCTTTATTTTAATTTTTTAATCTTTTTTAACCTAAAAACCGAGGTTTTTCTCATTCTCTCGAATATTAATGATAATTTTAAAAAAAAGATCACTTTGAAGTATTACACGGAGAACATTACCTTTGAGAAAAGGTGCTATACTTGATAATCGGAGTATGCTTTCTGGTAGAAAATGTTTTTACATAAAAAAAAAATAAACGTCATTGTAAAACCAATACATTCATTTCACTCAGAATCTAAAATATTATATTTTATCTTATTTTTCGATGATAAATGAGAACGTGATATCCGCGTGTGCCTTTTTCGATTTACAAACGTACGGCATAGCAAATTTACGTTTAGCAAGGATAACTTAGTGTTATTATTTCTAATATTATAGTGATTTGACATGTTACCCGACCTGAAGATAAGAGTTATATTATCTGTGCAACGTTATTGGTTCTATATTTTCTATTGTGTTCATTTGTTGGACGAAGAAACACATAAGGGTGTAATGCTCTCTTAATTACATTTTTTTTTTTTGATATCCATACAATTTAATATAAGATTACACATTTCTGAAAAAAATTTTAAAAGACTGCCCCTAATTGAAATTTCGCCAAACACGTTTTAAAAGATAACTGTAATATAAACTTTGATATTAATACAGATTAAGAGATATTAAATACCCTCAATAACGTTTACATTAATTCAGTTTTAGAAGAATTACATACATACAATGAAATAAGGATATTTTAAATATACAAACCGATTTTAAAAATAATATTTTATATAAATACATTTTAGATAATAAATAATTACCAAAGGACTAATATTTTTTAACATATCTATGCATAATAATAACCAATTTTAAATAATTTCTCCTATTAAAAAAATTATTTTTTTTTAAAACGACCAATATCTATAATTTTTTTCTACCTATTCCTTCATTTAATTGTTTATATTCAGTCACGTTTTACATTTTGACATTTTAAAACATAAATCAATAGTAAACTTTCACGTGTGAATAAACGTTTGTTTTAATTTTTCATTTAAAGAAAGTAAACCACAGGCCATATATGGCCATGTAAACCATATATGATATTTATTTTTAAAACAATGAATTGTGTAAAGTCGAATAAAACATTTCGGTGCATATTCAAATGTACCGTCGCTAAAAACATTTGTACAAGTCATCATATAAGTTCCATATTTTGTATTGTGGTTAAACATATAAACAGTTGATTGTCAGGTACGTGAATAGTTGATTGTCAGGTACGTGAATACATTTTTCACCTTTACACATTAAAATTTTTGATTTTGATTTTATTTAATTAGGTTAAATGCTTGTAATGTGCTAATAATATCCGGTAAATCGTCTAAGAGTTCAATAAATCAACAAATTCAACAAATTATCGTATTTAAATTCAATAACAACCGTTCAATAACAATTATTAAATTTGG